GTAGTTATACGCTGAGTTGCGATCTGGAAGATATTAGCGGCTGTGCCATCAAGAATAGCTCTGAATCATAGATACTGACCCAAAATGTAGATCCATAGATCACCAACCGTGACAACCCGTCGCTGCTCTGAAGTCTTCCACTTCAGAACCAAGCTACCTTTGAAGTATCTGAAATGGATATCGTATCCCTCTTGAAATGTCGGGTGTTCAAATGTGTCCATGATAGCCATCTCGTGCCATTCGTCGGGTCCCCCATACACCATTAGAATAGTACTGTTCTCGAACTTTTGCCAAGTGAAGATTTCGGCAGTACAGTAAAGCAAGGTCCAGTCGCCAACAGGGTAATCGGCCACGTGAACTTTTGAATCCCGCGGACCAAGCCGGAGCTTGTTACCAATAAACCCAGGGCGAACCGGCCCCCTTGAGGTCTGCAATATCGGGAAGTAGTATGACGTGTCCAGGCTGGAGTAATTTCTGTGGCGAACCACGAAGTACGATGGCCCATCATGTTGACGCAGCCACGTCATGAGTATCCTTGGGTTACCACTGAGTGCCCACGAAGTCCTATTCACTGGCTTTGCTGTCAGGTACGATGGCGAGACCTTCAAGAATTGTGCTTCAAGCTTCAACTCCGAATACTTCTCCCTAGCGACGCTTCTATCCTCCTTGATAGCGGCGCCATAGTCGTATGAAGTATAACCTCCTGGGTGGCCCAGGTTGCCCCAATTCGTTCCACCAAAGAGCATGTATACGTTAAAGATGGACACGCCCGCCGCCAGGTTGTTCTTGTAGAATACCCGCTCAAACTCGTGGTTGGTGAGTGCGGCGCAGTTTTCGAAACCATGACCGCCCCACGGATCGAAAGAACCGCCCTGAAACTCCAGGATGGAGTTCGGAGTACTGGGGCTTTGTGAGAGATGCAGTCGACGATAGTTGGTTGGAAGCTTGTTAGCCGGCCATACGTCTGGATTACCACAGTCGAACCCTAAAGGGTATCCGTCATAGCCGTAAATATCAGCAGCGCCCACACCCGTGTCAGGTGCGTTGTGGCCTTCAGGCCTGGCGTCGTTGCTAATCATGGGAACCACGATACCGGCCTTCCGGGCCTGATCAATGACATACTGAAAGTATTCCCCGTCGGGAGATCGCCCCTTTTCGAAGTTGGTGTACTCATTCTCCGGCTGGAAAAGGATGACCGGTCCTCCGTTCGTGATTTGATTATCAGCGATGATTGCGCAAATTGTTTCCATGTAGTAATCTGTGGCAGAGAGAAACTCAGGATCACTCGTCCGCAGGCGAGCGCGCAGCCTTGATAACCACCCGGGGAATCCGCCGCCAGAGACCTCGGCGTTGATGTATGGTCCAGGCCGCGCGATGAGAAAGACGCCAGCCTCCGTCGCAGCATCGAAGAATGGCTGGAGATCGAATATGCCGTCTGTGACGATGTTTCCCTCCTTCCCCTCCAGAAGTGCCCAATCAACGTAGAAAGAAACGGTGTTGAGGCCGAGAGCCCTGACTTTCTGGAATACATCCAGGTACAGACCTGGAACAGGTATGCGAAACGGATGTATCTCTCCAGAAAATATCATCGCCCGCTCTCCATTGACGAAGAGCGACTGCTCGTCCCAGCTGACGACATCCTGATACTGTCTCTTATCGATGACATGAAGGCGACCTGAAATGCCGTCAATGAACAGCCCAATGGCCAGAAAGGCGAAGGAAAGTATTGACAGCCACATTCGTGATTGCCGTCGCGGGATCTTCTTGGGGGGCGTAAAAGAGCGTCGAGCCTTTGCATTGGCCGTCACAACAACGAGGAGAGTGGGCAGCCTTCGGACGCCATATATGCCGCCGGCCTCACTTTGTCGGGCGAGGGCCCTTGAGATGATCGATACCGAAAAGAGCGACCTTTTGTGTGATGGAGTTGTTCATCCAGAATGCAAAAGCAGCGATAGTTTGCCTGCGTTTACTCCAAGTTATGCAAAAAGAAACGGCATCTGCGCCTATCCAGTGGCGGTGGCATCCTTCCATGCATGCAACTTACTAACCACCTGCTCGCGAACTGCATATGAGTATCAGCCCCCCTCTTCCCCATGACACCTTCCAGAAGGCTCACTTCAAAGGATTTCCGGAAGAACAGGTGTCGTTAACTTCGCATACGAAACGATCGTCCGATGCCCGTGGGACATGCGAACTTTCCGCACAGTCCAATCCTGCAAGTCGCCGTACCAAACGGCGTTGTAAGCTAGACAGAACAAGCTTTTTTGCAGCTTCACCGGCTAAGCCTGCGGGCAACCGTGCGGAGATCTGTTGGTGCTAATGTAGCGAATGCAACTATTTGACGTACATAGTTCCGGCAGGGCGAAGACGTCGACGGAAAGCGGATCCGACAATGCAATGCGACCAAGATGCATTAAACGGTCACATGGGGGCTGGCACTAATGAGAACTTCCGGCTGACTTCTACGAAACATTGTGTTGATTTGCATGTTCGAGGCAAGACCGCCAGTTGGTGCAAGTGCCGAGGATCACAACGCATCCTTACTGGTTATTTGGTTGCATTGAAACCTCGTATATGGTTCGGTGATGGGTTACGCTGCGTGAACAGCCGCTGCTATAAGCTACCTCACAGGAAAACTCGCGGGCTGTATAAATGTATGACGGCATTCAGACATGAACCCAGTCGGAGCCATCGGTCACCGGGTGAGTCGTGACTCTTGGGGGTTCTGCGACAAAGCCGACGGGATGTCCGTCCTGCTTCCACACTCTGCCGTCCTTCATCACAAAATCGACCTTGCGCAGAGCGCCGGCATCTTCTCTGGGGTCTGCAGCCAAGGCGATGATGTCTGCCCTGTAGCCTTTGGCAATGGCTCCGAACAGGAAGCCGCTCTTCTCCTTGCCACAACTTTCCCAGCCTCCGACCATGCATGCTTCCAAGACATCCACGACAGGCAGTCCCGCTATTATCATGAGCTCCATCTCCAGAGCACCTGCTCCATGAGGGATCGGACCACCAGTGTCTCCGCCGACAGCGAGACGTACTCCTAGATCATATGCCTTCTTGACTCTCCTGAGACAATCTTCAAAGTACGGACCATCCGCAGACTTCTTTATCACCGAAAGCGTCGGCACATATATGGTACCCTGACGACGCATCTCGCGGAGAACCTGGTCGTTTCCTTCGTTGCAGTGTTCAATCGAGTCGACCCCCGCCTTGATAGCCATCAGAGCGCTCTTAGTCACGGTCGTGTGCGCAGCCACCGGCAAATCAGCCAGCCTGGCCTCCTCCACAATGGCGTCCATCTCCTCCTGGCTGAACATCGTCACGGCCGGGTTGAGGCCCGTCATGATGAACGGGGGCGCGTCTCGCGGTGGAACCAGCGGAGGCGGGAACCGCATAATCTTCCGCCGGTAGTCGGCGTAGAACTTGATCACGTCGGCGCCGTCTCCCACACGCCGCCGGACCGCCCGCCTGACCTCCGCAACCCCGTCGCACACGTCCGCGATGCGCGGCATCGTCGCCATCACGTTCTCGTGGCGGACCTCGTAAGACCCGGTGCTCGCGAGGCACTCCGTGGCGACGAACAGCCGCGGGCCGGGCACCAGGCCACGGTTGACGCAGTCGCGGAGGTTCGCGTCGAACGAACGCATGCCCTCTGTCCCTAGATCGCGGTAGGTGGTGAAGCCGGACAGGAGCGCGAGGCGGAGGTGGTTGGTGGCGCGGACCACTCGTTCAACAATACTCTCGTCGCGTTCCTGGATGGTTGAGGAGGCCTCGCTGAGTGAGCGTCAGATGTTGAGGCCCAATTTCTGCGGGTGACTTTCATTGTTTGCTCACTCGTAGGGATGCAAGAAGACGTGCGCGTGGGCGTCGACAAATCCTGGCATGATGACCTTTCCGCGAAGGTCGATGTCGCCCGGCCTTACACTGATTTCCTCGTCATCTTTCCTCTTGTAAATATCGGCGATGATGCCCTGGGCCTTGTCGACGACGATTGAGGTGTTTTTAACGAACGACTTGGTCTTGGAATCGAAGAGTAGCGACGTGTGCACCGTGAAAGTGGAGGACTCCGAACTCATGATGATCCTGTGTGGGGGAACTATGTTTGGGCGGATCTGTAAAGCCAATATGGTGGAACTGGTGTGTCTTGGCTGTAGGGAATAATCGATGGTATCGGGCGATTTGGAGACTTTTTGTTACTGACGTACCTATGAAGCGTTTACGTTATCTTTGAAACCGCGTACAGTCGCTCGGGTGGCTGGCATTGGACGACCAGGACATTGCATTTTAGGCAGGTCGCTGGCGAAGAGACATGCAGTATCCGTACACAAGCGAAGGGACTTTGGTTACGGCAAACGCTCTAAAACAGCAAAGGTAACTCAAAAGGGAAAACAATTCAAACGTACGGTCTGTCGATCTCTACCAGAATCACATTACACAGGAGCATCAGCTCCGTCGTAAGGGAGATATCAAAGGTCCTCAGCAGAGCGAAGTCGGCTTGCTAAGTGATCAGCACCCGGCAGCCTCTGAAGAAATTTGAAGCCGCAAGATGGCCGATGAAGCAAAATTTTCAATCCCCATTAAGTCGCTTTGATATCCCAATGCCGGTCTTCACCATTGATTTTGCTTAAAGAAGAGCAAGACGAGCTCTTGCGACATACGAATCCGAGCCATGCGAATGCGAGCCGGCTCAAAATTGGGTACAAATTAATAGAATACTGTTTGAACCAGCAACTTCAACTGTTCATGTCCTAATTGCGTGATCGTATAGATGACTACGTTACTTCTAGCCAGAGTTCTCAACGAGGGCGGAATCAAAATTGAGCCCAAATATGCAAATCCCGTGCCCGAAATCCGTTCTGGCCTTCAATCCCATACGAGGGGTGTAACTGTCTTCGGCATCACGATGCCAAAGATATAAAGTCTCTCGGAGGAGGTGACCTCCAGCATCTGTTCAGACAACGGAAAAGATACTTCGTGCTCCTAGTAGCCTCCAAAAAATGCGTCTGATCACAATCTCTGTCCTGAGCTCTATACTTGGGACCCAAGTTGTTTCCGGCTCCCCTGATCTTCCCATCGTCGATCTTGGATACCAGCTTCACCAAGCGTCCTTCGACAACGTAAGTCAAGATGCTCACAGGAGCCATTCGGAAGTAAAGCGAGCGTCTGACTCAGAAGAACGTCGCCGGCCAACAGCAAACTGGAGGCTTCTACAGCTTTTCAAACATCCGGTACGCCGCACCACCAGTCGACAACCTCCACTTCCGCGCGCCGGAACCACCGGCCACGAATCGTACCGTAGTCGAAACCGGCGCATCGGGACGCGTGTGTCCCCAGAGTTCGCCGGCATAGTTATCGGAAGCCATCGCCTTCGTGACAAACGTCACCCAATGGCTCGCGTTCAACTCGTCTGCTTTCAGAGAACAGCAGTCTGCGAACGCCTCGACGACGCCCGTCCGTCAGCCAGGCCCGAGAACAAACGAGGACTGCCTTGTTCTTGATGTCGTGGTCCCAAAGTCTGCCTTTGAACAACATCGATCCACGAACATCTCGGGCTCGGGAGTACCGGTACTCGTCTGGGTCCATGGTGGCGGATACACGACTGGTAGTAAAGACCAGTTCGGAGGTCCTGCTGGTCTCCTGGCACAGGCGACAGCCTTTGAACCCGATGGTCTGGTCTTCGTTGCGATAAACTACCGCCTGGGAGCCTTTGGCTGGTCAGCCGGGCCCACGATACAATCAGACGGCGCTGCTAATGTCGGGCTGCTGGATCAAAGGCTTGCTTTGGACTGGGTACAGAAACACATTGCCAAGTTTGGAGGCGATCCAAAGAAGGTTACCGTCATGGGCGAGTCCACAGGCGGCGGCTCTCTGATGCATCACATCACGGTAAAGTCGCCAATAACCTTGCACAAGTGAGGTCTTGCCGGAGAACCACGGCTGATACCGTCCTTCTAAGGCGTACGGGGGCAGCAAAGGGACATCCCCCCCATTTCGCAGGGCCGTCATACAATCGCCCGCTTTCTTCCCCCACGTGGATGCGAGTCAACAAGAGGAGAATCTCCAGACGTTTCTCGCGTTGCTGAACGTCTCAACGCTTGCCGAAGCCCGGAAGCTGCCATCGTCAGCACTCATAACTGCCAACAGTCAACAAGTGGCGCAATTGCCGTATGGCCAGTTCACTTACAACCCCGTCATCGACCATGGCTACGTGCCTTCTCATCAGGCAACTCTCTTCGCCCGTGGTCAACTCGATCGAGATGTTGATGTGATGTTCAGCCACAACGCCAACGAAGGATTAATCTTCACTGATCCGAGTGTCACCGACGGCTTCGCTTTTCGAAGACTCATCAGTAAGCTCTTCCCAAGCTTCAATGTGTCGTTGGTCGAGCACATTGCCGAGGTTCTCTATCCTCCTGTATTTGATGGCACCCAACCGTACATCGACGATTTGGGTCGCGGTACTCTCTTGATGGCCGAGACCCGTATCGTTTGCAACACACTTTTCCTACGCCGAGCCTTTGGGAATGAAAGCTTGGCTTACATCTTTGGTGTCCCGCCATCCTTGCATGGAGACGACCTCAAGTACACCTTCTACAATGGTGCTTATGGAGCACAGATGGACAGCCGTTCTCTCAACGTGACGATTGCAGAGGTCTTGCAGGACTATATAGCGTCATATGCCATAAGCGGGAAGCCGGCAACAGACGTCTCGGGAGTTGGCGTCTTTGCAAAAGTAGGAAGCAAGTCCACGGCATGGACTCTGGACGTGGCTGGTGTGCAAAGTGCCGTCGGCGGTGCTGTTAACGATAGATGCTCATGGTGGCAGGCCAATTGGGCGGCCTTTCCCGACACTGCCTAGACTCAATATTAAGCTTAAAACCTCTCATCGTAATCAAGTTTATTTTGGCTTGAGTTTCGCAGCCAGCTGATTTCAGGTGCGCTCTCGAGGATATTTGGAACCAAAAGCCCACTGACCCGGGATGGAAGTTTTAACATTGGCAATCGTGCGGTGGCTAGGCGGGTGCCCGGTGCAGATGTCCGGGCGTCGGAAGCCAGCGGCTCCTCCGGTTGCACAGCTGCAGGCGGTCCCTGTTGAACGGATTACGTCCCACCAAGTCTATGGAGAGCCATTGAGTATGTATTCCCGGGATGTGGGAAGAGGAGGAACCCATGACAAAGACGAGTTTTAGGCGGAGATATTCGGCTCCCCAACATAGGATGCCCTGATGGCAAAGCTGGGCGAAACAATGTTTTCTTGACACAAGGTTTTTGCTGCTTGGAAAAGTCGGTGTCGAGAGGTTCATCTGGAATTCGGTGCCCGCTCGAGCAATGACGCACGGAAAGGCGTTTGGTGAGCCGAGGAACATGGCAGATCAGGCCAAGCCGACATCCGAGAGCCTCCCGCCACAAGTGGCACTGGTGCATTGCTAGACTCGATAAGCTGCCCGACGATAGCATCATGGTGCAGGCTTCAATACCATCGGTGAAGCATAAAACATGGCGAGCATGGAAGTGACGTCGGCCGCTGCTGAAGGCGAATGCTTGGGTGCCCGTTGAGGCGATGCTCGACACTGGAGATGGATGTGCATGACATAGTGACATGTGGTTGTGTTTCTTGGTAGGTTCTCAGGACCCTGATCCGCTGTCAATAGGACCCCTCACGTATTAGGCTGTATCGCCGTTCTCTCCAGCGAAAAGGGAGGCGGTAGATGGCGAGCGACCGAGGATTGCCGAGTTCTGGAAGAAGTGTGGAATCCGGATTTCTCGTCGGGGCGGGCAGGAATGACGAATGCAAGAGGGCCCCCCGGGACGGTGGAGATGTCTTGGAAGACCCTGAAGGGAATGGCGCCGGGTTCTGCTGGGCCAGGTGTGGAGGTGAGGACGGGGCCAAGAGTGACGGGTCGGTGCCGAAAATAGAGACAGAGATCGGCCCAGAGCAGGCATGTTGCATTGGCGTTGCGCTGGCCGGCCGGGGTCCAGTGGAAGTGGAAGTGGAAGTGGTCCGTTGTGTTTGCTGACGGGCCATTGAAGGGCTTCGGGTTGGTGTTTACGCCGTCACACGGTATTGGTAATGCTCTGCTCGGGTTGCTTGGTGGTGATGGATGGACTGCTGCGCATGCAATGCTTGACTCTCGACGTGGATGGCATGACAGACAGAGTTTGCACCGGTCTGCGGGCGAATCGCGAAGCGGGACGAGGACGATCGCGATTCCCTTCCCTTTTCGGTCGCAAGGCGACGAAGATGCAAGACAGAAGCAAAAGCTTGGGCGGTTAGCGTATCGCCATCGCCATCGCCATCGCCATGCATCGCCGACGCCTTTGCTGCAATGAAGGTTCCCCTGGCTTCTTACCCTGTTGGGTGCAGGTGCTGCTACTGCAACGGCGACCAACTGGGAGTCTTGTCAACGGCGCCGGCCGACGAGTAGGTAAGTAGTAAAATAGTGTATGTATACCGACAGCCGGGCCGACTGATGATGATGGTGTTATTTTTGGTTCCATTGTCTGGTAATGAAAGAACTGGCGCGATCTAACGTTGGCTTGTTGCATCTCGTGCCTGCAGGAAGAGAACGATGCGATGCCAGCGCCAACTGACACTGCTGTTGAAGGAGGAATGCGCCGCAGCAGCAGGAGCAGCAGCAGCGCAGCAGTAATGCAAGTCTGCTGTGCAGACAGGCGATGCAGGCGAGCAGGAGCCTGGAACCGCTGCTCTGGCGATCCAGAAGGCCTAGAAGGGGCGTTTACCAACCACCTGGCCGCTAAATGTCGCTGACAGTTGGGCTCTTTGCTAACGTTTTCCGCTGGGCTGCCCTCAGAGTCTCGGCCACACTTTCGGTGGGAACAGCAGCCCTGCGAGGGTGGAAAACAGTGCGTGCCAGAAGCCAGGAGTTGCCGACACTCGACTGAGGTATGGTGTTGACTGCCCAAGTGGGTGGGCAGAGACACTTTGGACAGCCACGAGTACACCACCACCAAACCACAAACCACGCACCGGATGCACTGTGGGTGTCAAAGTGGAGCCACAAATTGTCCTGCGCGCAGTCCTGCGCTGATTGGCTGCAGCTTCGATCCTGGTGTGTGCCACCGCGCAGTGACGGGCCAAGGGTTCCACACTGCAACCAATGAGCAACCGTCATTCCGCAGGAAACCGACAAATCTGAGATGATCGCAGCCTGGCCCCTCAGGCATCTCGTCACTCTCGCGAGTGAGGCGGTACGTACTGTCGCTTTTTGGCCGCCACCACGTTGTCCCTTGCACCATCCCCCGCCTCTCGCCCTCTCCCTGTGCAACGTAGTGGGTGTCTTTGGGCCATGTTCCATGGGTTTCCCTTTGATTGACGGCCCAGAGAGACTCCAGACTGCCCGGTGACTGGCAGAGAGACGTCCTCCAAGCCACCACACGGACAGTGCGACGGAGAGAAAAGACCCTCCCCGTCTAGGTCCCCCGGCCATCCCTGTTCCGTTCTGCCCTCCCACCTTGCGCTTGCTCTTCCTGCTTGGCACCGGCACCTGCACCAGCTCCTGCGCCTGCTCCTGACCAGTGACCACAGACCAGTCCTAGGCCACAGACCACCCTCTTCTTCATTGAATACGAGTCTTGTTTTTCTGCTCTTCCCGCTCGTTCCCACACGTCCCTTCTCAACCCTCACCATTCGATAAAAATCCATTCACTCGCTACTTTTCCTATTGCGTCCCCTCTTGGCCTCTTCCTCTCGTTTTCCTTGAATTACCGTCGACATTAACTTCACCCAACGATCCATTATTACCCTTAACCTCTCGGTCGCTTCCGCCAAGGTTCTCGAGTCACTCGCCTACAACCCTACAAATTCTCCGCGAACCCGTCCGTGCCGGTCTCCTATTTTCGTACCCACCGGCTCAGGGCAAGAACTTTCCGAAATTCCAGTCGACTCATCTTTGCCACGAGTTGTCTCTAGTCCCAGCATAGTCGTGTTGGGCATTTAGGCAGTCGATCAACCAACACCCGGACCATTTAACGAACGTGACGGGACTTGGAAATCGGGCGAATATCTAACGGGATATAACCATCCCCGACACCGCGAATCTCACCACACCCTTTGAATTCTCACCGAACCTCACCTCAAAATGCAGCCTACTCTGGTTCTCCAGGTCCTCATGGCCGCCTCTGTGGCCCAGGCCTCGTGGTTCAACTTCCACAAGGAGGAAGCTCGCGATGGACTTCTGAGGAGACAGTCAGGAGGCACCTCTGCTGCTGCCGAGACCACAACTTCCGCCGCCGCCGCGACGACGACAACATCTGCTGCCGCAGCTACAACCACATCAGCCGCTGCTGCTACCACAACCACTCCTTCCGCCGCCAGAACCACGACCACCCCGGCCGCTACTCCCAGCGCGACCACTCCCGCTGCCACGACGACCACCCCGGCTGCCTCAGCTGAATCCACGACTTTGAAGACCAGCACTACATCTGCTGCCGGAAACTCGGATACCGCGAGCGGCGAGGCTGCTTCCTCTACTCCCACTACCACCGCTCAGCCTGTTACCTCCACCATCAGGACCGTCATCACAACGACCAACTCTGCTGGCGTTGCCACTTCCTTCACTTCCGAGTCGACCGTCACCAGCACACCTGGACTTAACGAGTCTAACTCTGGCTCCTCTTCTTCCGGCATGTCATCACAAACCCGCAATACCGTTATTGGTGTCGTTGTTGGTGTCGGTGGTGCCATCGTTCTCGGCGCTCTGGGTTTCGTTGCCTGGAGAATCTGGGGCAAGAAGAAGCAGGCGGAGGAGAACGACGGCCTGATGGAATACAACAACCAGTACGGCAACGAGGCCAAGGTCGAGGTCGGCAGCGCCCAGGGCTCCACCGGCCGCACGCCTTTCCAGTCGACCCTCGAGAGCTACCACGCACCAAGCCAGGTCAACGCGTCGTCCAACTTCTAAACCGGCGTGCGTTAGTCAAGCATTTGATGATTGTTGTTTCTTGCGGCAGAAAGCGTTGATTCCCCACGGTCCTTAGCCAACAAAAGGCACAAACCTTCGATGATTATTCTTACACCCCCATACGTTACGGCCGGCACAGCTTTTTTCTACTTTTAAGACCGGCTACACGGAGTTTCGGACCGAATCAACTATTGTTACCACGGCAGGCATGGTTGCATATCGCAGAGTCTAAGGATTAATGGATAGACTTATGTAAATAGAGCAGAGAGTCCTCCCCCTTCTTATTGTCGCAGATGGGCTTGGGATGATCATTGTCAAATCGTCGCCGACTGGGTTTCAGTCGAGTCGCATATCAAGACATGCAATCACCCTAGCAGAAAAATTGGACAAAAAACACATTGACGGCAAGTCTGATGAACAAAATCTACTGGGTTCACAGGCTTGGATGTACGTTCAGATACAACTTTAATACTAGGACCGCCAACATTATGGGATCAAAGCACTCTTCTATCGTGAATTGCGCAAGTGACGTGCATCCAAATGAAATGACAGTGACAAAACCTCAACTCAACTTGCGGAGGGGCAATAAGAGAGAGTTCACCCGATCCCTTACCCAAACTCTATTCCCTCCGTCATCCAACATTCATCCCCAGTATTGATCGTCCGTCACTCCAACCTGCCATCTGATGAACCGTGGCCGCGGCAGGATCGTCCATCCGGGCAGCCATCCCGTCTGGGCAAAGAGCGTGCAGCGCGAGCGCACCCAACATCACGTGGACGGGCCCGACCGTCATAATATTATTCCAGTCTCAGTGGTGTTTCGGGTTGCGGTGGTGGTGTTGCATCCCAGCTTTTTGTGGGCGCTTGGGATCTCGACGTTTCAGATTCCATGCGGTGCTTCTTCGTCTTCTTCTTACCCGCCCGCCCTGCTTGTGCG